GTTTGGGGTTTAGAGAGACTCATTTGAGGTTTAGGGTTTAAGTGAGGGTTTAGGATGCAGGGGCTAATCAAGGCTTGATTAGGTTTTGATTGCGGTTTAGGACTTTCGGTTCTTGCGTCAAGGCCCCACAACTCCCTCAGTTGGCGTGCTCCCACTCTGGCTTAAGCCAGCCAGATTGAACGACCACCACAAGCCGTACGTTTACTGATTGCTCAGGAATGGATTCGGTCTTCATCTTCCCCGATAAATCATGCAAAATTGCGCAGACCCTAAACCCCTAAACCCCTAAGCCCCTAAACGACTACCAGCTAAAGAAAGATAGATAGAGATAGAGAGACTCCTGGATCCCCTCATGAAGCAAGCTGGCTTTAAGATCGACCTCGGATCGCTAAGAAGGGGACCTTCGTGCTTGCGGCTCTGAGGGTTTAGGTCCGTAATGACTCAGCACATGGGTACTTCTCTAAATGAGGGTCCCTTTCTATAAGGGTGTCGTACTATATTAGTGACTTAAAAAGAGGACCCTAATTTAGAACTACCCACATGTCTTCAGTTCATAGTAGAACTCGTTTAGTCAGCTCACTTGAACTCACTAAGGGAACCCACCTCAATCCGTGAATTCACAAGGACTGCACGGCTTGAAGGTGCAGCAATTTGCGCTATAAACTGAACCGCATGTTTGTTGCTTATAGGGCTCATCAGACGAAAAAAATTATATTGCTTGCAAAACCCCTGAGCAGCTGATACCGCCCGCGACCCTCAAGCCTCAACCATACACCCTGAACCCTATACCCTGGGGCTCCAAGTATACAAACAGTACCTNNCCTACTTTGGGCTGTTTGGAGCCCCACTTGGAGGTTCATGGCTAGTTATAAGTGGAGTTATAAGTCCCCTACTATAGGTTATAAATATAGTTACCCTACTTATAACCCTATTTATAACTACCCATGAACCTCCCAGCAGGGCTATCCAGCTGCATCCTGTAGCGAGAGTGACTTCAATGCTGGCGCCTGGAAAGTGTTGTACACCGCCGTCAGAGCCACTCGCATGGGAGGAATCCGGTGATCCACAGACTCGCCACTCCTTCGGGTCGAGGCTTCTTTGTAGGGTTTAGGGTTTAGGGTTTAGGGTGTAGGGTAACCCTGGGGCTCCAAATAGCCCAAAGTAGGTACTACTTATAGACTTTAGACACCAAAGTAGGTACTATTTGTATGCTTGGAGCCCCAGGGTAAGGCTTCCCTGTATGGGTCGTTAGGAGGGTTCCTACAGGGTTTTGTGAGGGCTGCACGGGTTTAGGGAACTTAGGGCTTAGGGCAGGGCGTAGGGTAGCAAAGTTATCCACGTGAGCCCCAAAGCCTTAACAACGAAGGGGTCAGTGCGAGATTTCGTGCTGAAAAGCCAATTTCTATCTGGAAATAGTAGGTGCCCTAAACCCTAAACCCTGTTTCATAAGGCCTCATCGTCTGATTTGGTGGCCGAGGCTCCTGTATTGCATGCTTTTCCAGAAAGTTTTGAAACACAGAAGCCCTGAACAATCTAAGGTAACTAGATTCCTTAGAGAAGGAGCCTGTTGAAAACAAAACCTGTGAAGACCTGATAGAAAAAGAGCTGACCCGTTGTAGAACACAAAAAACTCCTTTGCAGAGAACTTATGGAGCCCCTAATATAATGACCTGCAAAACAGCCTTGATGGGACCCGCTTCGAGCTCTTAACGGACCCTTACAGAGCCTTTGTAGGTAAGCCTATATACTAGATAGAGATGTTTCGGGGACCCTTATTGAGCCTAATATGCTTCCTGAACGGTCCCCTAGAAGACCCCAATAAAGCGAGAGGGACCCCACAAACGAGCCCTCCGCCTCGGCGGACAAGTCTGAGGGCTGGGCAGCTTATCAAAGATCTGCAAGGCGATTCCTTCGCCTTGGGGGTGGGCTTTGGGGCTTGGGGCTTACAAGTTTATAAGGCGTAGATGGGGCCTCCAGAAAAAAACTTAGGCTTTGAGGTTTAGGGCTTACGATATAGGAGTTTGGCTTTGGGGTTTGGGATCTCGGACTGCAAGCGGAGATTCTTACTTCTTCATCCAACCCATGGACGAGTAGTCATCATGCTCACCAGCATAGTCTCTGGCCGCACCTTCACCATGACCACAGCCACTGCCTTCCCATACGCCCTTTTCAATATTCTTCGCCTCTAGATCATAATCACCGTCATCACCACCAACATTATCATCAGCATCAGCAGCCACAACAACCGCTACATCCTCGTCGTCGTGATCGTCACCACCGACACCACCGAACTATAATGACCATCGCTCGTCAACATAGCGAATGCTACAGCAAGGGGCAATAAAGCTTAAACCACTGTATACAGCTCCGAAGGACTTCTTGCGCAGGGACTACTCCGGGAGTAAGTAACCCCTTTTCAATTCTTCTTTTGCGCGCCCTAACGCTAAGATCCCTTGTATCACCCATGTAGTATACTAAATAAACCTCAAACTCTAAAACCCTGATCCCCAGCACAATCCATTCTATTCAGCCGAGTTCTGCATTGAGGGTAACGAAGCGCAGGGTGAAAACTTGCCGCAGAGGGCGGTGCTGGACGTCTCGAAGACGCGCCCTGAGTTGCAGGTCACCTTGCGGCGAAGGCTTAGTAATTAGGGTTCAGGGGCTGGGGCGCAAACCTAAACCCCAAACCTTATAGGGTGTGGAAGCGCAGGGTGTGGGTCCAGGGTTCGGCTTTGGGTTGTATGGTGGTGTTGGGACTCAGCAACTGGAGCCCAATCCAAAAACCAAGCTGTACCCTTCCTCCTGGCCTTAACCGCCTTAACCCTACCAAGTGTAAAACTTGATTAAGCCGATGAAGCCCTAAAGACACCAATGTAGGACCAGACATGACCAAGCTCTGCTGCCAAACGAAAAGAATCAATAAAGTACGATACGAATAGGAACAGTAGAAACATCGACAGAAGACGGTTTAGGGTTTAGGGTTCAGGGTACCAATGGCAAATAGGAATTATACTAACCCCGAAACAGAAGCCCAAGACCCTGAGGGTTTTAGGGTTTTAGGGGTTTAGGGTTTTAGGGTTTTAGGGTTTAGGGTTTAGGGTTCAGGAGTCCTTAAATCCAAGCCCGATGCAAACACGTGGACACTTGAGGCCAAGACAGTGATGGACTTTCGCTCACCCGGCTGAAGCTCCGCCTGAAGCAGGCGAACTATGACCCTTTTCCCGCAAAGTTCTTGGGGCTGCCGGGAGTTGGTTGGGTTTAGGGCTTAGGGTTTCAACAAGGGTTGGCTGTACAGGGTGGTTCACCTGCATTGCAGGATTTATAGGCATCTGTGGACTTTTGGTGCAGTACCTTCCGGCGGTTTATATGGCTTGACATTGTGGTGCGGCTTTGTCTGTGGGGTTTGGGGGACTTGCATGGCTTGCAGTGCTTGAGAGCTATGAAGGTTTAGATTTCAGGGCGGAGGATTCTAGGTTTAGGGTTTTCGGGGTATAGGGATGCTGGCAGCATAAGTTTCCGAGGAGCGCAGGGGGAATATAGATTTAATGCAGACCATGCAAGCCCGAAATGACCAACAAGCTCACGCACGACAAGAACAGTTAGTTCCGTCTAATTGCCTAGAAAACCCTATTTACCCAAAACCCGATAACACATCCAAGCTCAAACCAAGTCTCTCAACCCTAAACCCCGAAGCCCTCAACCCTACTAAAGCTTCAATTCCCTCAACCCTAAATCCCTGAAGCCCTAAAGCCCTCAACCAGAAATCCCTAAAGACATAAAGCCCTCAACCCTAAACCCCAACAGCTCTAAGCCCGTCAACCCCTTATAAAAAGCCCTTTTAAAGGAAGCCTTACAAGGAACCGTAAACCCTAAAGCTCAAAACCCTGAAACCTAAAATCCGCAACCCTAGACCCCTTACAGAACCCCCAAAAGGAACCCGCAAAAGCACGCCTAACACCCCAAAACGAAAAAACAATTTTCAGGAGACCCCTAAACCCAAAACCCTAAATCCTAAAACCCCAAAACAAAAACAATAACTTTTCAGGAGACCCCTAAACCCTAAACCCTAAAACCCCAAAACAAAAAAATTGGAGACCTTGGGTTCGTCGATCTGAAGAAGCTCGCGGAGTGCTCGTCGGATCGCCAACTCAAAGCCTCGGCGCGTGGGCCATTTGGGAGATAAAAAGGGGGGGCCTTAGAGAGGGTTTAGGGTTTAGGGTTTAGGGGTTTAGGGGTTTAGGGTTTAGGGACCCTTTGAAGGGTCTTTGGGGGTCCTTTAAAGGGCCTTAGACTCGTTATCTTCAACTCCCCTCTTCAATAACCGGATCCCAAAAAGTTCAACCTGTCTATAACAGACCTCCATGGAGAATGGCGAATCTGATGCCCGTAGTGCAGGCAGCGCGGGCTAAACTTAGGTAATAATAATATAGGGGCCTTAATAATTAGAATAGGGTTTTGGGGTCCTTTATAGTATAATTTTGATAAGGAGCCCCCCCAAATTTTACAGGTACTTCCTACGGCCTATATTTGGGGAGGGGAGTCCTAGCACTAATTATCCCGCCGACAAACCGTAATGCTGCAGGGTTTAGGTGCCTTATAGCTGATACAAAATGCAGAACTGTGCAACCGCATGTTGTTTTCCAACACTGTGAATGCTGAAGAATAAACAAGTTACTTGCATCACTGATCCAGCCAGCGATTGAAAAGCTTCAACATTACTTTGGAATCTCACAAAACCGTGAAGTCGTGAGACTTGGACACACACGCCCTTTCGGCATCGGCCAAGACCTCGCAAAATAAAAATATGTCGCTCTCGGCAGGGGTCTCTGTGTCTTGACCTCGATCAACCACGACATTTAGCTGGGAATCCAACAAAAATACCTGACGTCGTGAGATTTGGACGCGCCTTCGGCATCGGCCTCAATTGAAAAGGTGTCGCTCTCGGCAAGAAAACTGCCGTCGTGAGACTTGGACGCGCCTTCGGCGTCGGCCAAAACCTCTCAAAGGAAAAACGTGTCGCTCTGGGCAAGGGTCTCGGTGCCTTCCTGGCCTTTAGTAGAACAGACCTCGATCAACCACGATGGCGCGAGCATCTGGCGTGCCAGATCAGATGCCGTGTTCTTGCGGTAATTTTGGATGTCTACTTGGGCTCGAGCTGACAGCAAGGAGGACACAGCATCCAGAGAGCCACTCAGAATGCTGAACATCAGCGGCGTAGCATCGTAATGATGATAAGCCAGCAGAGTCAGTCTGGAAGAGCTTACCCGATGCCTCAGACCCATGAAGTTCATCAGAAGCCACCACCCGGGTTCCTGGATCTGTACTCGGAACTGCTCATTCACATTCGCCCGAGCATCGAGCAAATCGGAAACCAAGTCGGCAGAACCGCATGAAGCGAACATGAGTGCAACGTGTAGGCAGTGTAGCAAACTCAAATCTGGATTCAGAGTGAGCATCTCCTTCATGGCACGCCGACTTCCGCATGCACATGAGATCATCAAAGGGCTCATTCCTGGACCGGCCTGCTGATTCACGTTGGCACGAGCATGGCAGAGTAGACGTACTGCGTGTGGATTGTCCCCGGCACACGCGATATGGAGAGCATTGCCACCAAAACCGTCCTTGTAGTTCACGTGAGCTCTGGCGCAAAGAAGCAGCTCGACAGCTTCATTGTTGCTCAGTAGGCCAGCTATTCCCAGAGCCGTTAGCTTCGCAGGAAGATTGACTTCTGTTGCGGGCTTGGTCGTAGCCTGGTTGATATCCACCTTTCGGTCAAGAAGAGCATCCAGCACAACGACGTTGTTGCTCATCGCTGCAAAGCAAATGGGCGGCCACCCTGCAGCATCCCGCTCGAAGATGTTCCTGGCACCAATCGAGGACAAGTATGGAGTCGTGACTTTCAGAAGTTTAGGGGCTTAGCATCTTGGGTTTCCAGGCTCCTGAAGCAGTTCTGATGCAGGAAACGTTCCAGCATGAAGCCCTTGCAGTCAACACTCGGGTCGGTCTCAGCGTGGAATCCCGGAACAAGGCCGTCAATGGGCTCCACGTCAAGAGAACGGAAATACTGCGCCGTTTGTGCGTTCAGAAGGAATCGGTAGTTGTGCAACTGTCGATGCTCGAGGTAATAGAAAAGCTTGGACCAAACCATCTGAGTAACAATACGACCGATGACCTCCCGGTCGCCATCTAGCGTAAACTTTCCTTCACCAGGTGCATCCCTCATGCTTAGTCCTGCCCACAGCACGGTCTGGTGCACGGCGCTCTCCACAAGGATGGCGTAGCCACTTTTGCGGGTGGAGAGTTCGCGTGCAACTCGCTCTGTGCGACACCACCTGGATTGGTTTGCAGGATAAAGAACCGGCAAAACTTAGGCCTAGGCGGGAACAGGTGTATCGTCAAAGGAAAAAACACGCAAGTGCAACTCAGCTACCCTCTTTCGCCCCAACTGGCATGGCTCAAAGTCCGCTTCTGATCTCTGTGCTGCAACGCCGGGC